CTGGAAGCAAGATGTAAATTGAGGTTCCAAGTCAAGAATTTATAACACAACTTGAGATTTATCCTAACCTGTGCTCTTTTCTTCCTTTAGAAAGACATTTTGTTGGTCCTCCTGAGGATATTTTTATAGGATTGTCCATTGTTAACTCTCTTCTGAGTGGAAAAAAAGATTGAGAGGAAACAAAGTTCCGGGCAGAAGGAACTAATAAGCCTCTTGTCTCGATACTGCTGTCTGTGAGTTCTAAATCCATGTTTTATGTCAAAGTGTAGAGTGATTGAAGCATACTCAACATGCCTTAGGGTGGAGTTGTGTGCATGGCCCAGTCCACGCAGCCTGAGCGCCCACCGCCGCCAGACATGTCCTTGCCAGCTGCAGCTCAAGTCCATGCACAAACCTACTGTCTCCAAACCGATGCCATCTAGGCCAAGTCTAATGGCATTACAGACCCATACTGATCTTTTCCTAAGTTTGATAGGCTGGGTATGGCACCATCTAATAGGTGATGTTTTTGTCTTCTCCACAGAATGTGAATGGCATAAAGTACCATGCTAAGAATGGTCACAGAACACAGATTCGAGTCCGCAAACCATTCAAATGTCGTTGTGGGAAGAGTTACAAGACAGCTCAGGGCCTGCGGCATCACACAATCAATTTCCACCCCCCAGTGTCAGCCGAGATCATCAGAAAGATGCAGCAATAACACGCTGGTCATAACTGTGCCAAGAAATCTTCACCAGCAGTTGCTGATTTTGAAAACAGCCACCTTTTTTTCAAGGGAAGCATTCAGCAACCCTTTAAAGAAAAAGAATTAAATGCATGCTTTAAACTTTTTCTGTCATTTTGGAATGATGTATCTTTGTAGAGTTAATGATTTTGTACATTTGCACATGTATTCATCATACCATTTTCATTCTTTGATATAAGGTGCTAAACAAACAAAAAAGCTCTAGGTTCTTCAGCACATTTCCCCCCAAACAAAATAAAGCGGAGGGCATGTTGCACATTGTTGAGTTGTACTGCAGTGTATCAATCCGGGGAGGAGGGGCTGGCACAGAGATTTTCTTCAGGATTGTACTGTGATTGAAGTTTTAAAACACATCAACTCACATCTGTTCAAAACCAAAATAATTCCTTCATTATCAAACTGGTTACCATGCCTTACATAATTTAATGGAGTTAGTGTTTGTGAGTAGAAAGACAGTAGGTAACGGAAATATAAATAAGAATGTTTAACATAATATGCTAAAAATATTTTCATATTTAAATAACATACATAAAAGGTATGCTTTCTGTGTTTTATATTATCTTGCAAATCCCTTGTCCCTTTGAAAAGCTGAAAATCTTGCCATCTGATTTACCAATCATTTTAGTGTTACAAATGGCATTTTTGTACAAAACAGTCTGGTCAGTTCATTCTAATTCAACATGCATTCATTGAGTGCCTGCTGGGTGCAAGGGATTCCATTTCTCCCTATCGATAGTTGTGGACCAAGATACCAGTTTAGTGAAATACTACTCCCTCAAATCTGTTAGCAAACATTTTGAAATACTTAAGTGCAAGTTTTGTCTGTGTGAAATTCAGTTCTATCTTCATCTTCAGATGAAGTCTTAAAGCACTTTGTAGTTCTCTATTGCCAACAGATTAAATGTTTTATGTGTTGCCAATTCTTGCAACCACTGCTCTAACAAACCTATGGGTTGCAAATAAGCATTAAAATTGTAGGCGTGATTCAAAGAGGAACATTTCTGTTAAGAACCCACATTGCCTCTTCTTCCTGTTCAGTGTTGTTGTTTTTTTAAGGCACTTTTTACATCATATTGTACATGTCTACATTCCCATTGAAAACAGTCTGTTTAGCTTTATAAGACATTTTGCTGAAATACGAAATTGAGCCTTATTGACAATTAAGTGCTTCTTGTAGCAGGTGGTCAAAGAAAGAGTGACTGATGTGACACATTAGAGTAGCCTCCGTCTGGACCCATCCTGAGTGTCCTCACCAACAAAGCCATCATGCCTTGAGTGTTCTTTCATCCCAAGTGCTATTCCTTAATCACCAGAGTGTACCAACAGCCTGATTATGCAATAAAAACTGCTTTGAGACAACTAACTGCCCACACAACATACTGGTGAAAAAAGTAAATTCGAATCACTTATAAACTAGCTTTCCTCCCAGGTTCACATTTGATGAAAAGTCCAAATACACACAGCTGGGAAAGCAGGTGTCCCTCCTCAATGTTTCAGACATTTTTGAAAGGATAATTCTGTTAGCCAGATGGGTAAGCTTCTCTAAAGTTGTGAATCCCTCCCTCATAGTGAGGGGTTTCCAAGTATTTGTAAAGACACTGCCCTCTACTAACAATGTCCTGCAGCCCCATGGAGATAGTGTTATCCTGTAGGTTTAAAAGGGTGATCCAGACATGAGAAGCAAATCACTGGTGCATAAGAAGGCCCCACTGGCTATCTACCTACAGTTGACCAGTAACACATTTTTTTCAGCCCACAATTACTTAGCTTCGCTCCTAGTGCAAGAAACTGCAGGCTGGATGGATCAGTTGTTCCCCAGTTAACAGTCCTAAAGTCACTGCATGCTTCATTTCTTTCCCGTGTAAAACCGATTCCAGTTTCTATCTACGTGTTCCTTGTGACAGTGTTAACTACACAGTAAGGATGGGAGGGTTTTGTCACACCATGTGTAGTGACTGTACTGTGCTGTGTCTGTGAGAACTGTGCTTTAAATTATATTTTCATATGTCTTGTTGAGGACAGAGCACAATAAGTTTGAAAGTGACAGAGGTTTGTTTTAGAACTGAAGGCAATTTAGTGAATCAAAATTCCTGTCAAGAAAAGCTGCTTATAAATGTAAATGAAATCACGTTTAAAATAAACTGCCTCTGACCCAAAATAAACATGGCTCTTTATTTTCATTAGCATCATGAAAACTAGTATCAAGTTTACCAGGGGAACCAATATATCCATTCAGTGCCTTGTTTGATATTAGACTGCCTATTTTGCATAATTTCTTTAACATAGAATTTATTCTCCAATTTTTTACTTTGATTAGACCGAACTGCTTTCCTTATCAATGCCAAATTACATATCATAAAACCTTGGGCCAAAAACCATTGACCAGTTCTAGGGAAACAAATTCTCTTTATTTCACAAGTAGTAGTGCTATATTATTATTCAAAGGGTTCTTTTAGATTAGCATGACCCCTAATTATTAACTGATGCAAAAGAATAGTGAATGCTCCTGTCACTGAGCAATTTTACTTGAACATATCCCGCTTCTAATAACCCATCAGGAAGTTTTAACACGGATTTGGCAATGCTGTGGCCTCCCAAGATAGCTGTTTTCAACATTTGGCATCTACCTGCCAGATTCCAATAATCCATCAATTCTCCTAAAAGTACAAATGTGTGTACACAGTTAGTACACAGCACTCCAAAATGTCACCAAGTCTATTAGGCTACCATCCTAAATAGCTAGTGCACAGGAAGGATAACCACAAAAGCAGGAAAATCTTAATACTAGAACAGTAATTCTTTAATATTTTAAAAGATAAAGGAGTACAGCTCAGAATTAAAGGTCCAGACCAGAGAAATGCTGGGCTCACTAAGACAAAGACAATCATCACAAATCAGACAGCAATGAAATTAACCTACAGACCTCCAAAAATGTGTGCTCCCTCTTTAATGTTCGGAAGAGTTCAATACAACAAGACAGACATAACTAAAGGAACACAGTACTTTGATTTAGGTTTATGCAGTACAATTTTAATCACTTACTGAGAAACGTTATTCCAAAGTTACATTCTCATTAGGAAAATGTAAAAAAGATTCTGATACCTATTCTGTCTGCAATTTTATACTACAAAGCCTATTGTGCAGTAGGTCATTCGATAGGAAAACAATTACACTGGCATCTTTCCCATCTCCCCATTAGATACAAATTCAACTTAAAGATAGTTTAATAATCATTCAGGTTATTCTAAAAATAATTTGTTAAAATTAGTGACCGAAAGCAAGATACGCTATTTTAAAGCAAATATTTCACATATAGGAAGAATATTTGCTTTACTGGCTACATGTAGCTCCATTTCTATAGAGAGTTAGCCTGTCTTTAAGGTGAATTTGTACGTAAGTTAGAAAAGTTTGGTACTATTCGTATCTAACATCAGTCAAATGTTTGTCTTGCTGTTAAGTGCTATCGAGGTGGTTCTGACTCTCAGAAACCTGGTACAGAGTTTTCCAAGGACTGTCTGGTGGGTTTGAACCACCAACCTTGCAGTTGGCAGTCCAGTGCTTATCCTATAGTATATACCTTTCCATACATAAACAAAAAACAAAAACATTTCCAGACACCCCAAAACATCTTTAACACAACACTGTAATAATGCTGTAAATGTGTGTGCAAAGCAGCGCAGTCATCACCAACGGCTGTACGTGCCTCACATGGTTACCATGATAGGCTTTCCAGGGTATTGGTTTGGGTAGCAAGGGTTTGTACGTAAAACCGATGTTAATAACCCAGGGACTGCCAGGAAAATTCAGTATTCAAAGAATTACTTTGCAGGACTATTAGGATGAATTCTTTTTATTACATAATAGTATTTAGTAGTCATGCTCAACAGTAAGGTCCACAGAAACTTGGAAATATTCTGCTAAATAATCTGACATACATATATTTTAGCAGGTTAACATTAAAAGAATCCCTGTACCCTTTTATTCATACAACTTCACAAACTGGTGAATAAATAGATGCAAGCACACAGGAACTTTGCTTAAAGCAGCTAAGATTAATAGAAGGTAAAATTGTATTTAGTGGTAAGTCAAAAACGGATCCTGATACCTTAGTAACGCCAAACTGCACAGTAGCTCCTGGTCAGAAGACTGGAGAGGCTGTGTGGCAGGTGAGACAAAAACCTAGGTCCCCAGGTAGGCTCGCTACAGGGGAGTCTTTTTAAAGCTGCTGAACTGTATTAACTCATCATAAAATTAACTAGTCAAAATTCAAAACATTCTGATCAAAATGGGTCTGAACATGCCTTTCAAAGCCCTGCTGGTCATAGTCGGGAGGGAACTGCTCACTGCACATGGGGCACACCTTCCAGTGGCTTTCCACGTGCTCTTCAAACTTGCTCTGATCGTAGCTGGGAGGGAACATTAATTCACAGAGGGGGCACTTCTTGTGGACATCAAAACTTGAAAAAATAGGAAAATGAAAGAATTATACATTTCTAATGTCAGTAAAAATTTAGTATATGATAAAGTCACACAACTGATACACTACACCACATTGCCTACTAAAAGCCTTGGGTGTCTTTAATTACTGTAGAAACGTCTTTTCCTGTCCCAAAATGCTAATTGACAATTTAAAACACATTTACAAAGGCTCTAAATTTAGTCTTATACAATTGACAAAGAAAAGCCCTTTGTTTAATTAAATTTTCAAAAACGCAATCACATGATGTGAAATAAGGCTTACTGCCAAGAATTCTTAAGTTTTCATTTTAAAAGGACCTTTTTATAAAACTGTAAGGATAAACGTCGTTGTCAAGTGCTGTCGAATCAGTTCCGACTCATAGCAACCCTGTATAGGGTTCCAAAGGAGCGGCCTGGTCAGTTTGAATTGCTGACCTTGTAGTTCAAAACTGACCTTGCAATCCAGTGCTAATGCTATAGCACCATACGAGGCTTCAGAAAGAGAAATACACAATTCAATTTCCTACAAGCATCGATTCGGTTTCACAATTAACATTTTGTTAAAGAACTGGTTCTTAAAGAATGGCGTGCACCAGAATCATCCCCAGGGCTTACTACAATTTGTACACTGGGTTCCATCCCCAGAGTTTCTGGTTTAGTAGTTCTAAGATACAGACCCATGTTCCCAGGCACCACACTTAGAAAATCACTAGTGTCTAAAATCCAAATTCTACAAAGGAAAGAGAAAATTTACCTGGAATCAAAGCAAAAGCCTGTTCCATGCCCACGTAAATGCTGACTTGGAGGATCAGGACCAGTGGGTACAGGCTCATCTTCCTAAGCAAAATAATAATAATAATAGTAATTTTTGCTGCATTTGAGAAAAGTGAAGTAAGTGCCTTAATTCAAACAACCACATGTTGAGAGTATAAAGGAAATACAATTACACTTTGTCATTTTAATTCTACCTTGGAGAGACCAATGTTTGAAAGTAAATTTTACAGAGTACTTCACTATGGGCTAACAGAACAGTCTTACCTTCTTGAAATGTTGTGGCTTTGAAAGGAATGACCATTATACCACACCGATTTGTGTGAATGAAGCTGAGATGAGAAGAAGAACACTTTGAACCTCCATATAGATAACTTTGGGGCTCCTGCTGTGGTGCTGTTGAGTTACTGTGCTTGACTGCAAAGTCGGTTTGAACCTCACGGTTGGTGGTTCAAGCTCACCAGCCGCTCCTTGGGAACCCTATACAGGGTCACTATGGGTCGTACCCGACTCAAAGGCACTTAGCAACAACAATAATACAGGTAACTTTACTGATTTTTTTATAATTCCATAGATTGGCTGCCCACTTTCCGATCGATTTTAAGACTATTTATTCCATTAATTTCACTTACTAACTTACAAGACATACATACTTTGATCACGCAGAACTGCTGCATGATACTCAGAAGTTGTAAACAAAGGAAAATAAAGTATGTATGTTTTACATATGTATGTGGCTTGGGCACATCAACTGGAAAATATGTGTCATGAAGCAAAGCAATGAACCAAGCGACAAGCCTTCACAGCAGATTTGGATTCACAAATCTAGAGTTCTGTGCATGCCAACTCCACAGCCCAGCATGGACAGCAGCCTCATCAGCCCACCAGCCCTTTGCTTTCTTCTTCTCAGCAGTTCACCTAGCTGCCCTCATGCCGTGAGCTAGCAGCATGTAAACAGATGCAGTAGGCCTGACAAAAGCCCTTATGTGGGCGAGGTAATCATGCTGCCTCAGAGCGGTTCTCAGTGGGCTAATTATTCAGTCTGTCAGCAGAAGAGGCACCAAAAACTCTATGTGGCATGAAATTTAAAGTGAGCAAACATAAAGACAGGTGAAATATATTTTTCTTTTTTGTATTTGGCTGTCATTTGTGACTATTGTGTGCCAAGGCCAAAGTCAACACAGTGCCAATGACTCGGAGTAACTTATTTACAACTAGAGAATCAATACATATTCTGGTCCCTTAATGCTTTGCACTATTAGGTAGAATCAGTCAGCATCTCTATTCTTCTAGTAAGATGGTACTGTTACACTCTGCCAGATACTTCTGGTACTGTATATCAAGTCAATGAAATAATACATTGAACTCTACAATTTAAAGGTTTACAAAATCAAAAGTGAGTAGCTTACAAAGACTTCTAGTACTTGTTTGGATATAAAGAAAACCCTCACATTGATTCAAAGACCTAAATGTTTAAAAGCTAAAACTATAAACGTCCTAGAAGGAGGAAAATAACCCTTCATGCTGCGTTAGGCAGTGGTTCTCTAGATGTTACAACAAAGGACTGTAAGCACACCACCACTGACGACAACTGGGACTTCATCCGCATTACCCTGTATGCCGCACAGCACACTATCAAAATGTGAAGGCAGCCTACAGAGTGGGAGAAGTAGGTATAAATCACGTCTGACAAAAGACCTGTATCAGAACGTACGAAGAATTCTTTCCTCTTAATAATAAAAAGACAATAAAACAGACAAACAGACAAAGCATAAGCATGTGCTCTTTTAGGAACTATATGGGATCAAAGTGATAAGAGCAACTCAAAATATTAAATAAGAAACTTTGGGAGCAGTGAGTTTATATTAATGGAGAAAGAACTCAAAAAGGTGACAACGGTTGTGCCAATCAAAGAATGTAATCAAAGTCACTAAACTGAAGATCTAGAAATAGTAGAACTAGAGTACGGTTTGCTGTACATATTCTCAAGAACAGTAAAATTAAAAAATATATCTGACTAGACATTTCTCAAAGATACATAAATGGCCAATAAGCACATGAAAAGATGCTCAACATCATTATCAGAAAACTGCACATCAAACAACAAGATTCCACTTCACACTCACTAGGATGGGCGAACAATAAAAGATACACAAGCATGTGGAGAAACTGGACCCTTAGTACATGCTGGTATGAATGGCAAATGGTGCAGGTACTTTTGGGAAATAATTTGGCAGTTCTCAAAAGGTTAAACTTCAGAGTGACTGTATGACCCATTTGTTATTGTTAAGTGCTGCTGAGTCGGTACTGACCCGTGGTGGTGTAGTGCTGTGGAGTCAGTTCCAACTCACAACAACCCAACGTAGGGTTTCCGAGGCTGTAAATCATTATGGCTGTAGATTCGAAATTCTGACCTTGAGGTTAGCATCCTGAATCCTAACTACTATGCTACTAGAGCTCCTTTCTACCCTTTGGAAGGAAACCTTTTCCCAAGGAGCAGTCGGTAACTTTAAACTGATTTTACCATTCAGCACATTAACCCAAAGCACCATACCAGGACTCCCATATAAACTCAGAAAAAAACATACACATGTTTACACAATAACTTTTAAACAAATGTCTAAAGCAGTATTGTTCATAAAAACAAAAAACACAGCTGCCACCAAGTCAATCGCGATTCACAGCAGCCCTGTGTAGGGTGGGTTTCCCAAGGCTGTAAATCTTTACAGGAACAGAAAAGCCTCATCTTTGAACTGCTGACCTTACAGTTAGCAGTCCAGTGCTTATCCTGAGGCACCACCAAGGCTCCTTAGCATTATTCACACTAATCAAAAATTGGAACCAACCCAAATGTCCATTAACTGATGAATGGATAAACAAAATGTGATACATATCCATACAGTGGAATGTTATTTGGTAATAAAAAGAAATGAAGTACTGGTACATGCTACAATGTGAACGAACCTTGAAAACACTATGGTAACTGAAAAATTCCAGCCAACAAAAAGTCACATGTGAGTGTAGAGACTACGCCCATCTACAGACACAGACGGTGAGGGGCTGCCTGGGGGAGTGGGTGGGGGTGGAGGATGACAGCTAACGGATATACGGTTTCTCTGGGGGATGATGAAAACGTCTACAACTGACCATGAGGATGGGTGCACAGCTCTGTATATAGTAAAACCCACTGAATGGCACAACATAGTTAAATGGGTAAATTGTACGACGTTTGAATGGTATCTCAATAAAGCTGCTGCTTTAAAAAAAGTTACTGTTCTAAGATGATCTAAATTTTAAATAGGTTATATAAATATAAAAATATAAATAAAAAGCATTCCTTTAAAATCGTTAATCACAAATAACTTAAACAGCCTTTACTATACAAATGGTGTGCTATATGGTATTAAAAAAATGCAAAATTCAGCATTAACAGATGCCAGCCAGATAGAAAATACCAGTTGGAAATATGTATGAAAAAATAAAAGTATGTACTCACTGAATTCATGTAATCCTTTACATAAAGTCCAATTTCTCTTTCTTTTTGTTGTTTGTGCTTTTGGTGTCGTATCTAAGAAACTATTGCCTAATCCAAGGTTCTCACTCTGGATAGGGTTTCCAAGGAATGGCTGGTGGGTTTTGAACCGCCAACCTTGTGGTTAGCAGACCAGTGTTTATCCTACATCACCACACTAGGATTTCAAATCACACCTGTATTGAAAAAGTGAGGTGCATACAATGATTCCTAATGACAAATGGGTGCTACACTTTGTGACTTGCATAAAAACATCATTGTTATATCATTACTAGCCTGGTGTGGCACTGTGGGGTAAGCACTAGACTGCTAGCCACAAGGTCGGTGGTTGAAACCTACCTGCAGCTCCTGGGAGACCCTATACAGGGACGCTCTGAGTCAGAACCAACTTTATGGCATTTGACGACAACTACAACTGTATTATTGAAGTACTCCTAATGTGGGTAAGCACTGGACTGCTAAAAAAGGCTGGCAGTTCAAACGTACCATTTGCTCCTTGGAAACCCTATGTAGGGTCTTGCTATGGAGTCAGAATTGACTTGATGGCACTTAACAACTGCATTGTTATGTTACAGATATCTTGGTGTATTTGTCAGTGTTTTTTTTTTTTTTTTAATAATGTTTTATTGTGAGTTATATTATAGTTTACATGGGAGAACCTCAGTTCCATATTCATTCCATCGTCTATCATTACATTGCCATGGTTCCAATCCCCTCCATGCATCGTCTTCCGACCAAAGGGCATATCCTAGAAGCTCGTGCTCTACACTCCCCTCTCCCCACTCAGTCTTCGGCCCACAGTTCCTCTCCCTCTCTGGCTCCAAAGTCCCCAGCTGCTTCATCCCTCCATGTCATCATCTCTATCTCCATCTCAAGCATCCTGGATTCTCTGGGTGGGGTCCCGTTCTTGGCTCTTATCCGCTGGTGGTCCCAGAGACCTCCGCTCCTAGACTGGAGAAATAATCGCTCTCTTCCTTGCTACAAAACATCTACCCTTGCATTTCCAACACTCACAATCTGTCTTGATAACCATTATTCACTACAGTACCGCATGTAATCCATCTGTATTTCATTTCATCAGCTCCACCTAGACAGATTGGATAGTACTCACTGGTGATTCTGCCTTCCTCCATGCCCCCTAGCTCTAGGTTCCCTCTTGAAAGCTTGTAAGCCAGTTATTTCTTGCCATTATAGTCCCTCCCTCCCCATTTGGGTATCCAATGTCCAAGCTGCCCCTCTCTGTCTACTCTGTGTGTGGAGGGGGTGGGAATGTTTCTTGCTGTAAGGATTTGTTGCCTCTTTTGTGTCACTGCATTCATATGCATAGGTTAAGTTCATCAGCTTGGATCAGCTCAGTCTTCTTCCCCCCCCCGGCCCCACCTTCTTTCTTCTCCTGGTTGAACTCTGATCATCCAGTCATCCAGTCCCGGTCACATGGGTGTCATCTGCAAGTGTGGGTGTTCTTGTGCACATGCCCTCTCTTCCCATCAGCCGGCAGGCAGCTCCATTCTCCACTTGAGTCCTCTGTGGCCAT